TGATAAAACCTGTATTGTACCTTTTACATAAGGCTGGCTAGATATGGTTTTATAACACTTGCATATATGTTCACTGATTTGTTTGGATAAAGGCTATTTGGCATATAATGCACTTTTGCTATACCTTTTTGTAAGTTGGGCATGGCTATAACCATTTAAAAAGCTGAGTTGAATAATTTTGTTAAATGTATTTCATCTATTAGTGATTCATCTTGAGCCATCTACTTCTTTGATAATATACTATTATGTTTTATGGGCTGTTGCTATACAGTAATAATTGTAAATGGTAAATCTAATTGTGGATGAAATAATAATTGCTTTTTTAAGGTGTTAAAAAATAGTGTTGGCCTCCTTGGTGATCCTCTAAGTATATTAAGAGGAACAATTCACAGCAAGAATCAAGGATTGTGAAAAACAAAAATGTGGAATCTGGTAACTGATTAACTATTGGAGCTCAAAAGCACTTACTGAGCTGAATAGAAAAGAATGAAGACAGGTTTTTGTCATGCCTTGTTGCATCTGAAGAACCTTTGGGGTTAAAGAGTATTTGAATCTTCCTTTCCTTTATATTTTCAAATAATTATTTTACATCTTTTATGGATCCAATTAATTTATTTTAGTAGTTTTTCTCATTTAAAATGAAAGTTACCAATTCCTTTAGATTTATTTTAGCATACCTACCCCTTAATATTAGATTGAATTCAATGCACAAATCTTCTGGGCATTCAATTTAACATAACAGTTGACATATGAATTTATCTAAAAATTAAAATAACTTTTTAAACAGATTTATACTGAATATTCTCCTGTCAAGAGCTATTGTAGGCCATTTTAACATGACTTTGCCTTGAACTGAGCAAGACTGTCGCATTCTTTTCATTGTCCCTAGAGTCCTCACTTTGTTATATTATGGTCAAACTCAAAGGCTATTAGGGTTTCTTTAGGATGTTAATAAAGAATTTTTTAATGAAAGAATAAATATTCAAATGAGAGTTCATTTGCAAGGAATTCCTTGGATGCCTTTTAATCCTATACTGCAAGGCAATTCTGCATAAAACTTCTGATAATTAAACTAGACTTCTAAAAAGCCATGTAATGTTGAATCTGCAAAAGGAATGTGCTGATTCAGCAAACCAACATTTATGTTTTTCAGCATAAACTGTATGCTGACAATTTGGGGAAAATATGGATTAAGATTTTTAGTTGATTGAATTTTTCTCTTTTCAATTAGTTTTCAGGCAAAATATAGGTATATATCAATAGAGTATACTTGTAGTGTTTCTACTGAATCTATTATATATAGTAATGTAAATTTTTAAAAACAATAGTGTTTAAATATAGGGTTACTGTTTGAAAATAAACAATTTAGGATTGCAATTTATTTCTTGAGTATTTCTTATGTTTATGGTTTTGAGGAAAGCTACTTAAGAACTAGATACATCTTTTCATATCAAATCTACCCATAATATTTAAAGCCTAACTCTACATTTTGGAGAGGGGTTCTACAGTTTTCTTTTAATGGGCTTTTCAGTTTCAAATATATGAAAGTCCTATTAAATTACTTTTATGTATTTTCCATAAATTGATTCCTCTGAAATATTGATACATTGTGATGTTTTGATTTAAATTAGGCCATATATTTATCAATCAGAAGTCTGTGTGTGTGTGTGTGTGTGTGTGTGTGTGTGTGTGTGTTACACAGCTGTACATTATTTCAGGGCTCAGGTCAAAAAATGTTCTACTTATTTAAAAATCTTTTCTTAAGTCTAATTGGGGATGCATTCCTTTCTCTTTATTCCTAGCCAGTTTCATACAGTGACTCTTTATTAACAATGTTAGCTTTTTTAACATTAACCTCTTTGCTTCCTGAACATCTTCATGTTTCCTACCAAAAACACTTAGAATCATAACATTTTTTTAGCTAGAAGGACTCTTAAAGATAGCAAATGAATCCAACTCCTCATGTTTGAGTTGAATGAAAAGCCACAAAATGTAGCTAAATTACTACTATACAATCTAAGGGTAGATCTGGGACCAGAACATCTCAGTCTCCTCACTACCAGCCCAGACTAATCAATTTTTCACTGCTCTACATTGACTCTTCTGAATTCTACATGAAATCTACTCTATGTTTTCTAAAGGATTTGTAAAAAACAAAAAAAAAATTGTTACAGAGTTATATTAATGAGTTTTTGCTGAACTAATAAATGATTTGCTTTTATATTTTAATCTATATCATTACTGCCCCCAAACTTTTTTGGCATTGTGGCTGGATTTATGGAGTTGCCATTGGTAATGAAGGTGACTACAATTTTAAACCCTAATCTCTTAATGCCATTGTAAAATTTTATATCAAACTGATAAGAGAACCTCATATTCCTTCATATTGGCCTTACATTCCTTCATATTTGTGGGTCCTGCTGTCATTTTCTGACTTAATATTGCTTTAACCAACTCAATAGTTTATTTTCTTAGTATGTATGTAATTTTGTATTGTTTTAGTCACTCTTATATGGATGTAGTTTAGGATTTTCCCCAAAGGCCATCTAAAGCTTGGTTTGAACTGACAGGCAAATTTTAATAAGATTATGAAGACCAGAACTGTAGTACTCAAAACCCATGTTAGAGGTGATAGAACTTGTTATTTAAGGGGTAAGCTCTTAATACAGGGCTTTGCACACAAATGCTCAAAATGCTTTAAATGTTTTTAACTTGAGGAGTTCCAAGGAAATGGGATTACAGAACGCTTGAGAACCAAAGGCTCAAAAATTTCAACTCTGATTCCTAGAACTAAATGTTAATTCTCCTAACCTCCTTATCTTTTCACAGGGAAAATCCTACCTGAGGGATGCTTCTAAATTTAGTAAATTTAGTTCAGTCCAAGTGAACTCTGGAAAATAATCACTTCCATTTCTTTCTTATCTTTACAGGCAAGAGAAAGGGTAGTATGTTGAAAACCATACGGGCTTTTGAGTCAAACTGAAAAGGGTTTGAATACTGACTGCTACAAACTGCTTTATCCTAGGGAATTACTGAACCCTCTGAGTTCTGTTTTCTCCATCTGTAAGTTAAGGAAACTAATACCATTCTCTAAGAGTTGTTAGAACGATTACATGATATATTGTGTGTAAAACACCTAGCACAGTTCCTAGAACATAGTAGGTGCAGCAAATGTCAATATCCACCCTATTAATAGGATATATAATAAATTTCCTCAAAGTAGCTTGAGTAAGAGAAGTCAAAGTTTAACTTAGAATATATATTTAATTTTTGTCAGAGACATAAAAATTAAATCAGCAACCTTGGAAAGCATTAAGATTTACTAGTGAAAAATATTTTAACCTTATTAAAATTTTAAAAACAGAAACTCATATAACTGAATCCAATTAAAGACTCAAGAAGCCATTGTTAAATATATTTTGAGAGCAATATATCAAGGTAATTAAAAGGTTTAATTTTTTAAAATTCAAATTTCAATCATCTATACCAAAGAAAGGAACTTTGACATAGACCAAATTACACCTTACTTGTGCTTAGTATCTGAGTTTTTCAAAGGCATTTTATATCTATTATCTCATATGACAATAAATTAGTTGTCCGAGGATTTCTAATGGTCTAAAGATTGTGCTCATTCTACTATCAACTGAATTATTTCTCCAGGGCTCTAGAATATGTTTTTTTCCCTCCAAAAGGTTCTCTTCCAAATTAAATTTATTGTAGGTCAATATAAAATTATATAGCATTTCCCTGATAGTAAATAATAGGACAGTGAGTACAAAATGTTTTGGGTATAATAAGTAAAACAGAATAGGATTTGATATTTTCTTTTTTCTTTTATTTTTAAATCCTCACTCGAGGATATTTTTCCATCTATCTGCAGATAGAGTGGGAGGGAGGGAAGGAGGGAGGGAGGGAGAGAGAGAGAAAGAGAGCGAGAGAGAGAAACATCAATGTGAGAGAGACACATTGATTGGCTGCCCCCCCTCACCAGCACACGGATTTAACATTTTCTAAAAATAATATTAAATTAGCCTCAGACTCATTAATTGATTAGGAAACGGACCTAATGAACAAAGTTCACATGCAAGATACTTATGAAATGTATGTCATTAATCAGAAAGGAGTTCAGAATGGTGTGACAAAACATTCTAAGACCTAAGAGCAGGAAATAGGTTATGACTTGATATTAGAACCAACAAATAGATCCACTCATAATACAAACTGATCTTATTGAAATCTTGCAATCAGCTTTAATTTCCTGAAAGATGTTTAACTGCTGCACAAATAAGCTTTGTGCTAATAATATAGTTTGAATTTATATCCACGGTAAATGAATTTTTTTTTTCTCATAAATTGAAAACCTTGTAGATGGTATACCTAAAGACAAAAGTACCACTTACCAATTAAGTCCACTAATTATACATTCTTTTTTTTTTTTTTTTTTTTTTATCCTCACCCGAGGATATTTTTCCATTTTTTGTACAGATAGAGTGGGAGGGAGAGAGAGGAAGGGAGAGAGAGAGAAACATCGACGTGAAGGGACACATCGAGTGGCTGCCACCCGCACGACCAACCAGGGCCGGGGACAAACTGCAACCGAAGTACGTGCCCTTAGCGGGAACCGAACCCGGGTCTCTCCGGACCGCAGGCCAACGCTCTAACCGCTGAGCCAAACTGGCCAGGGCGATATACATTCTTATTAAAACTATTTTATTAGATACATAAGCAAGTTAATCTTATGTGACTATTCATTAAATTAGTATTAAACCTGCATTTATTTTCACAGATTTTGTGTGAATATTACTATAAGCAATTAAAAGAGGGCAGGGAATAACATAAATTTCAAAGATTTTAAAAAATGTTTCTATATAAATACAGATGCTTCTCAATTTATGATGAAATTATAACCTAAGAAACCCATCAAAAGTTGAAAATATCATAAATCAAAAATGCAGTTAATACTAATACCACACTGTAGAGTATCCATTACTTACCCTTGTTATCACATGGCTGACTGGAAGCTGCTGCCCAGCATTAGAAGACAGTATAGTATTGCATATTGCTAGCCCAAAAGAGTACAGAATTTGAAGTACTGTTTCTACTGAATGCATAGCGCTTTCACACTGTAAAGCCGAAAAAAATCTTAAATCAGAGACCCTCTGTAGCTAATGGATACTTCAGGACTAACAACCTAACCTGTTATGCACCAGGAAATGAACTGGGAAATAAAGAACATTATGGCTCATCATGTTAAAGATAGATAGTCTTAAAAAGTAATCATAGCCCGGCAAGTGAGGCTCAGTGGATTGAGCGTCGTCCCATGGACTGAGAGGTCCCAGTTTGATTCTGGTCAGGACACATCCCCAGTAGGGAGCATGCAGGAGGCAGCCGATTGATGCTCTTTCACATCGATGTTTCTATCTCTCTCTCCCTTCCTCTCTCTCTAAAAAATCAGAAAAAAAATTTTTCAAAAATAATCATAACACCATTACATTAGAAGTTGTTAGTATTATTGACAAAGTGAAAATATAACTTGTATGGCAAATTTTTAGTTTCAAAGTTCTATCTTAAGTCTATTTCTTTGAAAGTTCTTTGCCTGTGGTTTTTACAATGACATACATTAGGAGTGAGAAAAACTTCCTTCCAACACAAAAACATTTTAAATCTAATGAATTTTGGAATGAACCTTGAAACACTGAGAAATATAAGATCAATAACTTTATGTAGCTTTCAGTACAATATTTTTGAAGCAATTTAGAGAATTCTGTGATGAGGTCTTCTATAAAAAAATTTACATTTAACATATATAGGTCAAAATTTGAAGGGTAGAGTTCTCCTAAATAAAAGTAGATGAAATATAGTCTAAGACAGTAGGATCATTCACTTTTCTAAAAATACTAATATTGTAATCTATTTTCAATAACATAATAAAAACTAAATGGGAAATACCAGCTACATAGCATTTTAGTGATCTCTTAAATTATGCTCTAGTCACACTTTCCAAGCAATAGTCTGACAAAATTTAAAACAAATATATGTTGCTCAGAAACAAGAATACTGTTTTTTTTTAAACTATAATATAGAACTAACCACGGGAACCTGGCTATAGGCCAGAAATCTGTACACTGGACGTGGAACCTGGCTACACCAGAACCTGGCTATAGGCCATTCAATGAGAAAAGTTGTTCAGTCCATTCCAGCATGACCACATCAGTCTCTTTCCCACAGTTTTACTTTTTTAAGATGTGTTTGCTGCTTTGAGATGAATGACCTTTTCTAGTTCCACCAGTGAACATATATGAAACACATCTAGTGTAAGTTAAATTCTTTGCTATTCTTTGGTACCATAACAAATCACATGTTAAAACTAATGTTAAAGCCAAGTAATACCAAATAAAATTTCAACAAAGGAAGAGCACAGTGACTCTGAAATAAAAATTGGGTTCTCTTTTTAATCTGACATCTGAATCTGTGGTTTTAGCTCAATTTATTAGAACATATGATTAACGGTACCATGATACTAATTCAATCCCTGTGGAGTCAGTTAATTTTCATTTACTTCATAGTCATAGATTATTATGCCCAGCAGCATTACTACTATAATAATGTAGCAATACTTCTCAAAGTGTTGTCTCTGGACCATCTGACTCACCTGGTAGATGCCTATTAAAAAGGCAGATTGCTAAGCTCTATCTAGACAAAATTCTCTTACCTAAGAGAGACTGAGCAAGAGTGTATGAGTTCCTTCGAATCCAACCATTATCACTATCAGAAAAATAGCCTCAAATGCATATGTTCAACCAATTATGGGTCAACATTAACACTCTTGCAGAGTAGTACACACAGTTAATCTGACTCTTGTCCATGCATACAAACTTTCAAAAGTTAAATTTTCCATTAATGACTTAAAAATAGTGAAATGGAAATCTCATATTTAACCATTATCTCTTAGTTTGGGTTCTCCCTGGAAAGTAGAGCCTGAATCCTCCAGATTGTGTGCAAGTTCTTGATTTGGAAAGTCATCCCAGGGAACAGAAGTGGGGGATTAAGAGAAGGAAACAAGGAGGGAGGGAAGGCCAATACAAGAGTGCATTATGGAGTTCGTTTCCCACTATGGGCAAACACAGCTCATTCTCAGTACCTTTTTTTGAGCCATGAAGCTGAAAGCATGCAAGAGGAAAATTTATCCACCAGTTCTGACTTCTTTCAGTTAAGGGTTACCTCATGAGTTGTTAATTTCCTCACACTTTCAGGTTGTGTTTCATTTCCAAAGGCTTCAGAGAAGCCCCCAGGACAGAAGGTTTAGGTGAAGGGTTGTCAGGTTTCTGAATCTGGTTACCACTGCAAAAATTGGAGTAAGCAGGGCCCAAAAGGTGTCCAGTACATCACTATTACAGGACAAATATGGTCAAACTGCTTTTTCCTTAGTTTACCAATATAATTTTAATACACCATAAAACTAAAATGGATTTTATAAGAAATGAGTACAGCAATTTCAAATGGAAAGCCTATTTTTGTCTGCTGTATTTGATCCATTCCCACAAAACATGAGATGCATTGAAACTTGATCTTCTGTGAGAAAGGCATTTTCTAATAAATTGCATTTCATTTCCTGAATTTGGTTGCCAATTTTTAAAGGGCCAAACAGCAGCAAAATGAACAATTAGTATGTACTCTGAAAATACTTTGTGTCCAGCATTAATCCAAAGACTTTATTGTTTAAGTTTACATTGGTAAAATTAAGTAAAAATAGATTGACTACATTGGACCCTCAAGTAACACTTCCTATTATAGTGAAACACAGAATTTTGAATAGTACAAGTTTGTCTTGGACTCTATCCAAGAGGGTCTAGTTACAAGAAATAATTCATTATAACCTATAATGTGATCCTAGAGCATGTCTCTGAAGAATACATTAGACAAAGGCTCTAGTTAAATAGATTAAAAATAGAAAACTAAACAGCCAGTTATGTGCTTTAAGTAAATATCATATTTGTTTGCATAATGAAAGAACTAGTTTAGCTAAGTAAGGAAGAAATAAGTGTAAATAAAAAAGGATTAATTATCTTTTCATTTAACTCGTATTGGTAAAATAATTAGTATTTGAGTTTTTAAAAAAACGCCTCTTTCTTAGAAGGTGGTTAAATAAGCTAATGAATTGACAAGAATGAAATAAGGAAATTAGACTGAAGAGGGCCGAGAAATAAGAAAAAGTAGGGATACACACCACTGAACAAAGCCCAATAATAAAAGATACTATTTTCAAAAGAAGGAATCAAATGTACTCAGGTCCACACTAAATTAGCTCAGATCACAATCAACATGATACCAACACCTCCTTTCTTGGACTTGAAGCTGAGTTGATCATAAATCTCTGTTAAATAAATGATTTCTTACAACCACCAATTTCTGAAAGAAAGAAAGAAAGAAATTAGTTTTACTTTCTTGTGCAATTTTGCAGTTGGACTAGATGACTTTTAAATCCCTTGGAATAAAATGGAGATACCAATATAATAATACTACCTCATTTATTTAAACTTAATTATGTGAATCAAATAAGATATGTAAAAGCACTTAACAAATTGTAATTTAACCCCTTCTATAATTATAAATGTCTCACAATTTACACAGCAATTCAACCTTCACTATAATTATATAACTAACAATTGGAAAGATCTCTATGATTAGCTGTAGCTCTTAAATCTATCTACAATTAATGACAGTTTCTTACACTGTTTGGCTACATACATATAATCATTCAGTCCTATCAACAATCCTGTGAAATATCCAAGATATATGTTATTATCTTCATATCACTGATAAACAACTGAGGCACAGAGAAGTTCAATTCCTTGCTCAATAGAATTATAATTAAAAGTAGAATGCATTAAACCAAGTAAGTGGAGTTTCTGATGACTTTCCAATAGCAACCTATGCAAACACATTACTATATACCTACAGTTTCCAGAATTCACAATGATTCCCCATCACCGAATCTTTGCACATGCCTTCTGCTCCCAATAGGCAAGCTTCTTCTTCTGCCACTCTGCTTGCTCCCAATAGGCATGCTGCTTCAAACTTCTATGAAGTCTTCTTTAAGAAATTTCACATATATTATTTCATTCTTACAACAATCCCTTTAAACACAGTGAGTATGAATATTCTCATTTTTCAGTTGGGGAAATAAGACTTGTCTAGGAAACATGAAGATAATCAAAGATAGGGCCAGAGCTTAAACCCTGGTCCTATTTCCCAGCTCAGGACTCGCCAACTACCATGCACTGGGGATGTGGCTATATGCCATCACTGATTGTACCACACAGTCACAATTTTTTAGAGCACTTCCTGCTCTGGTCCCTTCCGAGATTACAACATAATTCAAGGCTCTTTTTATTCTAGTTAGTTTTAAACTTACTACATAGAAGAATCCACAACATGGGGCTGGAAAAGGCTAATATATACATGTTTGTTAATTCCACTAGAAGTCAATTTATATTCATCTCTCAAATGTCCACACCTATTAAAAGGCAAGTAAAAAGGCATGTGTGACACAATCACTAAGAAATACAATTATTAATGCAACAAAATCTAAAAAATGAACTGAGATTGGTCCATATAATAAGTGCTTCACTCCAACCCTGACTAAGAGAGCCCAATTTATTTTCTTCTTCTCAATTATAATTTAAATTAAATTGCTATCAAATTTAAAAGTCCTTTTAGTAAAGCCATAAAATGTAAAGCTTTCTGAAGTAAATAGAAAAATATGCTGGAACTGCAAATAGCCTGTAGGTAATAGAAATTTTTTTTATCAAAATTCAGAAACTTTATTTGGTTATTTTCTCAAAAACATTTTCTAATTTAAAAAGCACAGAAAACGTTTTAAATAAATTTTACTATTCAAAACTAGTAGGGTGTATTGCAGAGAGCCTAGATACAGGATTTATAGCCAGAAGATTGGGTTTGAAGTCTTGGGTCAACTTATCTACTCGTTTGTATATATAATGCTAGTCAAACCACCTAATTTCTCAGCTTCAGTGGAAAGATGAAAACCGTACCTATTCTCCTTTTATGACAGTTATTTTTAGATTCAAAAAAGAAGATATATAGGAAAAATACTTTGTATTTTACCATCACTAATTGTTCCTGAATCCATTTCTTATCAGTATTAAACAAACCACTTCTAAACTCAGGAATTTCAGAATACTATCTATAAATCAAACAATATTATGACTTATATTATCTGTACCATAATATTCTTTAAAAAGTGTTTAGATAGGCCTGTACGTAATTGAGAAGGAAATACTCCTGACTACAAAAGGTCATTTTAAAAATGACCTTTTTTTATTAGTTTATACTTCAAATTCCTTAAAGCTTCTGATCATGTGATTTATAACCAAAACCAGGACATTTTTTAGAGTAAACAAAGTCCTATTAATAATTAGCTAGAACAACAGACATTAACCAGAACTGTTGCTGGTAAGCCAGGGCATATGGTCACATTATATAGGAAGCAAACTAGATTTGGGAAGAAGAAGTCTATTTATTTCAGACTTAATATCCACAAACACATAGTTTGTAAAAATTATAGTTAAAAAAGTCATCTACAAACACAAATTGTCACCAAGGTTGTGAAGTGAATTAAAGCATAATTTAATTTCACTATCTATTTCTAATACTTCCCATTATAACTCAAGTAAAACTGAAAAGTATTGGCTGAAACTGAAGGTTTCCTCTAAGACTTTTGGACATAAACATTTTTGGAAAAGTAACCATCAAAGCTGCCTTAACATTAGACTAATATCTGGATTAGGAAAAGCACATAACCAATATTTAAACAAAGTCTATTTTTCTCAAGTATAGTTGGAATAGGGGGAAACTGGGGGGGGAAGCCAGTGAGCATGTTTGAAGTCATATCCTATCTGTAATTTGTGATGCATGAATACATTAAAAATCACAACTATTTGCCAGCAGTGAATAAATTTACCAATTCACAGATGGAAAAATTAACATTTAAGATGTGAATCATTATTTTCTTAGAAGTGGGTAAAGCAATGAATATTAAACGTGTTTGCTCTTGTGAACCTATCAAGGAATTTTTTAATTAAGAGACTCCAAGTGATTTGTTCCTACAGTTAACCCTTTATTATATTTTTATTTACATTACTGTAAATAAATATTGTTCCCACAGCTTCCATCATGGTAGAATTATACATATGTATATAGGATCATGCAGTATAGTATGATATTTACTAGATAAAAGGTAAAAATTAGTTTTTCAAGATTCCCAAAATAAAATCTACTATTTTTATCTAGTGATCACTCTTAAATTATTTTATCATCTCTACAGCAGTTAAGCTCTGAGGTTCTTATAAATGCCAGGGCTAACTAACAAAAGTCCTGGGCTTCATAAACCTATATGCATAGGTATGAGATATTTCCCAAGCAGCCACTGTATTATAAATGGGTGACTTGAAAGAAAAAATGTCCCTTTCCATTGGTAATAAATTATTTTGCAAAAACTTCATTAACCTTCTTGATCAGCTCACCATAATTTAAACCTAGGCAACTAGGCAATTTTATGGTATACTGTACTCTTCACCAAATATAAAAAGATAGTTCCTAAACTGGGCAAAGTACCTGTCTAGTAAAATTTTGCCCATTAATGATGTGAAATAAAGTAGTTACGTGAATATTTAGAAACACAAACACAAAACTACTTTAAGAGTTTATAAGAGAAAATGAAGAAGGTATATGTAGCCATAGTGAAAATCAAAATAAATGAAGCTTCTTTATCTAAGTTGGAAGTTGGCCAGACTATATGAGGCTAATTTTTCTAACTGAAAAGCCATGTATAATCTTTAATGTGTATTATGGCACTTTAATGACTGCCTAAGACTGTCAAAATAAAAAGGTGATGCTGACATCTTTCATGAATGTTAAATATATATATATATATATTTTATCCTCACCCAAGGACCTTTTTTTTGTTTTTTGTTCAGATAGAATGGGAGGGAGAGAGGAAGAGAGAGAGAAACATCGACGTGAAAGGGACACATCAAGTGGTTGCCACCTGCATGACCCAACCATGGCCGGGACAAACTGCAACCGAGGTATGTGCCCTCAGCGGGAACTGAACCCGGGTCTCTCTGGACCGCAAGGCCAACGTTCTAACCGCTGAGCCAAACCAGCCAGGGCTAAATATATCTTTTAAGACAATTATAAAACTGCTCAACCTAACTGGATCTTGGCACCATCAACTCAAATCACAGGCAAAACATTTTGGCACTTGGGGCAAGATCACTAATTGATGTATATGCCTACCCCCAAACAACACTTAGTAATTACTGGAAACAACTTTAAAAAATTAAACCAATTGTTACAGTTGACACAAATGTTGACAGTTAACATAATTTTCTTTTATCTTAAAGTCTTCTCTCTCAACAGCTTTTTGTCTTATTCTTAAAATAGTTCTTTTGTCTTATTCTTAAAATAGCTCACTCCTGTGTTCATTTTAAAGGTGATGAACATTATTATGTAAAATATTATGTAAATATTCATAATGGGTTTAATCACTTTCAAATTATTACCTGAAGATACAGGCCCTCAATGATGGGGGAGGAGGGGAATGAGATGATGTGAGGAGTGGGAGAGAGATGGGAAATGCCTAGCACAAATAACAGAAATGTACTTAGACTAGGAATCACATATCCTTGTTCCAGTCCCAGCTCTGCCCTGGTTCTTCAGATAAATCACGTAACTTCATCTGTTTATTATATATACAGTACTAGGTCTGTGCAGTCCAACACAGTAGCCACTAGCCACATGTGGCTTTAAGCACTTGAAATGCAGCCAATCCAAATTGAGATGTGCTATAACGATAATATACACATCGGGTTTTTAAGAATCAGTACAAAGAAAAAGAATGTAGAAAGTCTCAATAAATTTTATATTGATGACATGTTGAAATAATGTTTTAGATAATTTTTAAAATTTACTGACTTCAGAGAGAGAGACATCATTTGTTGTTCCACTTATTTATGCATTCATTGGTTGATTCCTGTATGTGTCCTTAGTCTACGGGAGCGACGTTCTAACCAACTGACACAGCCAGAGTTATTTTAGATAAATTTAATAAAATAAAATAAATTTCAGCTGTTTCTTTTTACTTTTTAAAATGTGGCTACTAGAGCCCTGGCCAGTTTGCTCAGCGATTAGAGCGATAGCCTGAGGTCTGGAGAGACCCAGGTTCGGTTATCGCTATGGGCACATACCTCCGTTGCGGTTTGTCCCCGGCCCTGGTTGGGCCCTGTGGGTGGCAACCACTCGATGTGTCCCTTTCACGTCGCTGTTTCTCTCTCTCTCTCTCTCCCTTCCACTCTATCTGAACAAAATTTAAAAAAAAAAAAAAAAATTGTCCTCGGGTGAGAATAAAAAAAAATAAAATGTGGCTACTAGAAACTTAAATTATATGTGGTTCTACTGAATATGCTATGCTAAGCTATGCTTAGCATATGCTTAGCTATGCTAAGACTCTCTGGTAAGAACTACAAATGCTGAGAAGAATAGAGAAAGCACAGTCTTTGCTGTCAAAGAATCACCCACAGCCTAGTTAGAAAAGATAAAAGATATAAAAATAATTACAGTATAATGGTGTTAAATGCAGTGATAAAGATACATATACAGGAGTATGGGGGAATAAGGAGGGCTATTTCTGGAAGGAGTAGGAAGGAAGGAGGAAGAGAGATGTTACGTTAGCCTCCTGCAAGCAGACTGAGCCACAAAAGAAATAGCAATGGGGCCGAGGGAGGAATAAAAGCAGTTTCCTACTGATAGAAGGAAAGGGTGAGGAGGAGGTAGAGTGTAACAAGGCTAGAAAGGGCTCCTGTGACATTTTAAATGGAGAGTCCTGAAAGATTTTAAACAAGGCAGCCCCAAGATCAGAAATGATTTAAATCTCTGGCAGCTGTGTGGAAACTGGATTAAGGTGAACAAGACTTGAAGCAAGAAAGCTGTAGTGCAGGTGAGAAATATCAGGGCTCAAACTAGAGTAGTAAGTGTGAGGATGGAAAGAAAAGCAATACTATAATTCAGAACTTACTTAGCCCCGGCCAGTGTGGCTCAGTTGGTTGGAGCAATGTCCTATACACAGAAGGGTGGGGTGGTGGGTTCAAATCCATTAGATTTGGGTTCGGTATCCACTTGGGGTGTGAGGGAGGGAACTGACCAATGTTTCTTTCCCTTTCTCTCTAAAACACACACAAGCCCTGGCCAGTTTGGCTCAGCGGTTAGAGCGTCGGCCTGCGGTCCGGAGAGACCCGGGTTCGGTTCCCGCTAAGGGCACGTACTTCGGTTGCAGTTTGTCCCCGGCCCTGGTTGGTCGTGCGGGTGGCAGCCACTCGATGTGTCCCTTCACGTCGATGTTTCTCTCTCTCTCTCCCTTCCTCTCTCTCCCTCCCACTCTATCTGTACAAAAAATGGAAAAATATCCTCGGGTGAGGATAAAAAATAAAAAAATAAATAAAACACACACAAAAAACCCCCAAAACTATATTTACTAACAGTGATGGAACACAGTGGTTGACTTGTCCTGACTCCATGGAAAAGGGTTTAACTTTATTCTAAAATGAGACACCCTGGATGTTTTGAGCAAGGGAGGGTCATGTTCTGACTTAGGTTTTAAAGGACCACTCTGCTGTGGAGAGTACACTGCAAGGGGAAAACAGTGAAATAGAAAGCTGATTTAGAAAAAAAAAAGTTTTTGCTGCAGAAGAAGTTTGATATGATGACGCCTTGGCCCAGGGTGGATGCAAAAAAGGTGAGAAGCAATCGGATTGTACCTAATTCACAGGATTGAGAAAGGAAATGGGAAGTTCAGGAAGATCACAACTGTTGAGCCCAACTGTTTTGTATAACCAGAAAGCTAGGATGTCTGCTAAGAGTGAGAATATTAAACAGGTTTGAGAAAAATAGTGAAAGTTTGGAAGACAGCAAAGGAAATAGAAGGAGCGGAACAAAGTCTTTTTTTTCAATGTTTTTATTGATTTTTTTAGAGAGAGAGGAAGGGAGAGATAGAAACATCAATGTGAGAAACATCGGCTGCACGCCCCCTATAGAGGATCAAAGGATCAAGCCCACAACCCAGCCATGTGCAGAGTGGGAATTGAATCGGGACCTCTCAGTCCATGGGATGACACTCAATCCACTGAGCCACACTGACCAGACTGAACGAAGTCTATTTTAAGGATTAAATGATGTCCTGCATGAAGTGTGAAAATACGTAATTTTAGTGATTTCAGTCTAACCTATTATGTGATTTTAACCTTTACAACCCTCAGCTACCCAGCTGTAAGAGTTAAGCAGATTGTAGAATCAACAGTTTCAGTTATAACATGGCTTAAAATCTATATAGTTGCAAAATTCTACAGTTCTAATAATTCTAGAATTTTTACTGCTATCATACAATTTTTCTTATGTGATTAAATGTACATAATAAAAAATTTGTCATTTTAACTATCTCACCAGGCAATTTTAAAATCTTTATTGTTGAGAGTATTACAGATGCTCCCATTCCCCTGCAGCAGGCCTTTTAATTTCCCCCATTATTCCACTCCACCGGGTTCCAGCCCTGCCTCAGGCCTTCACCACTCTTATTTTTAAAGGAGTATCCTAAGCCTCCAGTGGGTTTTAGATATGCTGGGACAGTAAAACCCTCAAGATGGCAGCACTGGACCTAGAGTGGCTGGAGTCCCAACTTTGTTGCCTTTGAATGGAAGCAGCCTTATCTTTTTATCACAGTATAATACAAGTACTCATTTTCTAAGTATTGACGAAGTTTTGGAAGCATTGTTCTAAGCCATAAAAAATGAGAAACCCAGTATTACAAAAGGTTCAAAATAGCTGCTTCTCTGTTAAAGATGTTTTCTCACTTCTTCAGGACTTCATACTTTTTTCAAGCAGGTAGGGAGCAGAAAGCTCTTTATTCAGGGCAAATATCTGAGTATGCCTACCATTTCCACTGTTAAAGTAACCACCATAGAATCTTATAATGGGAAGCTAAGAATTGTGAATGAATTCAAAGATTTTTCTCTACCTACATAAAAAATTGGAATCCCTCAAGGGATGCCCAATTCATTTATCCACAGAGTTCTTACTTTACAGCAGGCACTGAGTTTCTGGAGATAAAAAGGTTTTGACTTCAACAAACTTACAGTCTAACGGAGAGAATGGATTAATTAAATAAATAAATTGTAATCAGTGTAAGAGGGGAAGGTGCATAGTGCTGTATGAGTATCTACTAGAAGAGACTATTAGAACAAGATAAAAGAATTAGTAATCACTAGGGAAAAGGTGGGGGTAGGTTTGGTTAAGAATTCCAGAGAGGCAACATCACGCAAAGCCCTAGGACTAAAAGGCCAGTGAGGCCAGAGGGCAGAAAATGTTTGGAAATGAACCTGGGGAGGTAGCAGAAGCAGTTCAAAGGGGCTTTCTTCAGAGTAACAGTAAGCCACTGAAGGGGTTTAAGCAGCATAGTGCCATGATCAGACTTATTTTTCAAGATTACAGTAGCTATAGTATAGAGAAGTGGTCTCGAAGTGGACAAGATTGAAGGTGGAAAAAGATTTTTTTTCCTTGTCCTTTAAAAATGTGTTATGATAGTCATCATGTATTAGCTCAGATGTATTTAGGGCTAGCTTTTATTGAACACATACTAAGTATCTGAATATTCTACTAAGCAGTCTACATATATTAACTCATTTACTCTTCATAACTCTGTGAGGTTGGTACTATTATCTTCATTTTACAGGTAAAAAAAAAATGAGACAGAGGTTAAGAAACCAGTCCAAGGTCACTTAGTAAGGAAGTATTAGAGCAGGATTCAAAGCCAGGATGTCTGGCACCAGAGCCTGTGACTTACTCATTAGCTCAACCTTCCTAATGCCGTGACTCTTTAATATAGTTCCTCATATTGTGGTGACCCCCAACCATAAAATTATTTTTGTTGCTACTTCATAACTGTAATTTTGCTACTGTTATGTCTTAGGTGACTCCTATAAAAGGGTCGTTCGGCCCCCAAAGGGGTCACGACCCACAGGTTGAGAACTGCTGCATTAGACTGTATAGCAATTTTCAGTAATACATGTATACAATTTAAAATTTAAATATGTACATGAATTGAGAATAGATGCTCAAATTTTTTTCTGAACACTAGTGAAAAGTTTAGGTGGAGTTGGTTGGGTGAATATGAACAGATTAGTAGTAGACTAGGGAAGGGATAATGGTATCTTGGAATACAGGGATGGATTTGGGAGCTATTTGTAAATAAAACTGGAGCTATTTGTAAATAAAACTGACAGGACTTGGTGATAGTTTGCATATGGGGGTTAAGAGAGAAGAAGGAGTCAAGGATGATTCTTTTGATTCTGACTTACAAAAATGGACTGGACAGTGAAGCCAATGGCAAAGGCCAGAGGAACAGATTAGGTCATACAGTTAGGATAGTTTTTCTTTGGACCACAAGTACACTGTTCTTTCAATGTGCCATTAAAAGACAAAACTGATTACAGGTTCTTTCCATTTGTAACAAAACTCTCCATTTCCATTATAAACATTTATACTAGCAATTATGCCTCCTATTAAAAATGGCATGGTTGCCCTGGCTGCTTTGGCTCAGCGGTTAGTGTTGGCCTGCAGTCCCGAGAGACCCGGGTTCAGTTTCCACTACGGGCACGTACCTTGGTTGCAGTTTGTCCCCGGCCATGGATGGGTTGTGCGGGTGGCTACCACTCGATGTGTCCCTTTCACATCGATGTTTCTCTCTCTCTCTCTCTCTCTCCCTCCCACTCACTCTATCTGAACAAAAAAATGGACAAATGTCCTCAGGTGAGGATAAATAAATAAATAAATAAATAAATAAAATGGCATGGTCAATTTTTCACCCATTTTCTCTAAAAATGTTATGAATCAAGTCTTATAAAATTTGGAAGTGAACGATGGTTTCTATAACAGGGTAATGAAGGTTCAACAGCCCTCAGTTGCAGTTTGTCCCCATCCCTGGTTGGTCGTGCAGGTGGCAGCCACTCAATGTGTCCCTTTCACATCGATGTTTCTCTTTCACATCGGTGTTTCTCTCTCTCTCCCTCCCACTCTACCTGAACAAAAAGTGGGAAAATGTCCTTGGGTGAGGATAAAAAAAAAAAATACCAACTTTTCTATAGCATTGCTAAAATGGTACAGAACATCTTGTTACGTTCAATCACAAGTAAGCTATGATATTCATTCCTTAAGATCAACAATGATTAGAAAAAGTACTTTTACATTTTGTATTTATGATGTTCTAAATACCACTTAACTTTTTAAAGTTTATAATATTGTCCTGTCTTCCTCCCAGGTCTTAGAAGTATTACAGAAAAGTATTGAACTGGTTTAACAAATATTGTGATTCTAGTCTATTCTGTTTATTTTCTTCAACTTCATTTGTAGAATTTCTAATGCTAAAATTCTTCTTTTAGAAATCAAGATAAAATAGGAAAACATATTAACAGTTTGAATGTTATCAGCCACAGGAAATGTGGATTTTAAAAATACATATTACCTAGTCCAGATGGTGTGGCTCAGTGGTTGAGCATCCACCCATGCACCAAGAGGTCACTAGTTCTGCTAGTTCGATTCCCAGTCAGGGCACATGCCCAGGTTGTAGGCCTGATCCCCAGTGGCATCCAATCGATGTTCTCTCTCATCAAGGTTTCTATCTCTCTCTTCTTCTCCCTTCCTCTCTTTCAAATCAATAAAGGGGAGAAAACAAAATACATATACATATACATATACAACTTAGCCCTGGCCGGGTTGCTCAGTTTAGAGCATCACCTTTTAGAGCATCATCGGGATACACCATGGCTGCACTTGGATCCGTCAGGACACGTACAAAAATCAACCAATGAACGCACGGATGGGTGGAACAACAAATTGATGTTTCTCTCTTACTCTAGCAATAAAAAAAAAAAAAAATCAATAAAAATGTATTACCTAATATATTGTTCCACCAAATAACGCTGGTCACTTCTGATTCCTTCTCATTTCAGGCTCTCCAGAAACTGCCCGTTTAACCTCAGCAAAACAGACATCGTTTGCTATCTGGCCTCACCACCCAGTCTTGTCAGGTCACGTCACTGAACCGCAGGTAACGGCTACAAGGCAGGGAACTACGTTAGACAAACGTATCCGTGCCCTCAGCAGTTCATTTTAACTTTCCATGTGGTACCGGACACTCCTTCATGCTTTCCCGGAAATGTGCCTGACTCAGGCTTAGCCGCAACTCCCGCGTAACACCAGGGAACTGAAACTTCCCAAACAGAACGGCTTTAGCTTTCTCCAGGCCATCCCCCAAACACCGTGGCGGTCGCCGGCTCTCGGAGCCGCGCTCCGCTCTGCAGTCCCTGCCCTTCGCGGTGGGACACCGCGCAGTCCCCCTCCTCCGCGGGAGTCCCGGGCGCCGCCACCTCGCTACTAGGCGGGAGGAAGGGGCGTGAACTTCCAGGAACACCCGCGAGACGTCGCCCGGGCTCCAGGAGGGGCGGGTCCGGCCGTCTCCTAGCCGGGCCGACTGCCCTGGGGCCCTGCCCCACCCCCGGAAAACGCGGGCTGCCCTGAGGGGCTAGCTTTCCCGCGGGGCGTTTGCCAAGTTAGTGAGGAAAGAGGAGAAAAGCGAGCGGCCTTCTCTTCACAGACCCGGAGCGTGCCCGCATCCCCGCCGGAGCTTTCGAGAATCTCCAGGCAATCTTGGAAGCCGTGAGGAGGAGGAATCGCTCGCTTTCCCCCAAGCCGGAGTGCTGGGTCGTAGAGGCCACTTCCGGTGTGGAGCGGCGCGCTGACCGAAGGCATTTGGCCTTCGGGGCGCGGATGGCCGTCGGTTCTGGGGCTGAGTGTTAGTAAGTAGGCTGGGGCCGGGCTAAAGTTGGCTGGAGGGGCGGGAGGAAGGACCGGCCGGCGCTCCGAGCTCTTTCGTGGATTCCCGCGCTGCCTTTGCACTAGCTTCGCGCGTGCGCAGTTGCTGCGCCTCGCGCTCTCCGCGCCAGTCGTCCTGGGAGCCTTGGGAGAGGCTGCGGGAGAGGCTGACGGACGAGGGTCCTGGGTAGGGAGCCTGGGACCTCAGCTTTGCTGGTAAGAGCAGCGCTCAAAGTCTGTGGAGTTCTTGTGGGACTCGAGGCGCGGCTCTTTCCTTCCTTGTGTGAGAACCTGTGCGGTGCGACGGGAGATGTTGTGCCCAGCGCCCTTAGTGCGGTGGCTGGCACTGCCACGGGATGCCCAGATGTGCTGTGTTACCACAGACCTGAGCCCGGGATGCAACCTGAGGCCTGATGCACATTTCCGAGAGCTGAGGGCGCCCCGCGGAGCAGTGACGAGCGGTGCCCTGCCAGGAGAGGTGCCGGCGACAAGCGCTGGGCGTGCAGGACAGGTTGGAGGGGGTCTTGTGAGCCAGAATCTGCAGGTTTCGTCTCGATAAATTGTATGTGGGGAAAAAAGAACTTTTACTTCCTCCGAAGATGTATTTCTTAAAGGACACTTTTTTTTTTACACTATTGGCTTTAAATTATTTAATACTGCGCATTTTTAAATTCATTAGAGTAACTAAAACTTTGTCTTGCGCTATATACTTAATAGAAATAACTGATTTGGTTTTGGTTACTTGGCAGTGTTTTGTAGTTACTGGCATCACAACCTGAGTTCCAGCTGTGACTAGGCCTGGCCCCAGCAATGTGATGGTGGGCGAGTCACCGAATTTCCTAAGCCTCTTTCTCCACCTCTAGAATGAAATTAATGTTAGTAGCTGTTTTATGGAGTTGTTCTGAAAATTAGGATAAAAAATTAATACAAAACGTCACAATCTGAACACTTATAAATGGCAGTTTTTATTGACAGTAGTATAGGCTCATTGATTTATCTTTCAGGGTTAAAAAATAGTGGAATCAAGTCTCTTTGGAAATAACACTGTACTAATGCAATGCACCCAGTCCCACTTAAAAATAAAACTTCATTATGGAAATAATAAATGTACGTAAGAGAGACACTGGAATTATGAACTCCCTCATATACCCACGTATCCATTCCTCAGCTTCAATAATTATCAAAGTTTAGACCTTCTTGTTTCGTTTCCCCACCTAACGTCCTTTTTTTTTTTTTCCTTTGTCATTTTAGTTAAAGTGTTTTTAAGCAAATCAGAGAACGTATCAGTTTACATGTAAACATCTTAGTATATATCTTTTAACAGATAAAGGACTTTTTAAAAATATGATCACATTATTATACCCAAGAAAATTAAAAATAATTCCCTAATATCCAAAATCCAGTGTATGTTTAATTTTTACTGATTGTCTCAAGAAAAGGTATAATCACAATTTTTTAAAACTATTTTTATTTTTGTAGTACAGCTAAAAAAATTATTTTTATTGATTGATTTTTAGAGGGAAAGAGAGAAACACTGATTTGTTTTTCCACTTATTGATGCATTCATTAGTTGCTTCTTTGATGTGCCCTCAATGGAGATGGAACCTGAAACCGTGGCATATTGGGAACGACACTCAACCAACTGAACTACCCTGCCAAGGCTATAGTATTTTATAGTTTACCAAGTAGAGTCACACATGATTTTGCTCCCTTTAGAAGTGTCACTGCTTATTTTAGCTTCTTCATCAGAGACCTCAAGAAATGGGTAGTAAGAGACTTATGTCAGTTTGGATACTTGTTAGTAAGGCATTGGCTAAGGAGCCAGATGTGAGGTTTAATAGACTGGTTAATCATTTTACTTTTTTAGTGGTAAGCTAGTTAATGGTTTCAGTTTAAGAACACATTAAAATATTAATTCACTTGAACTTCTTAATATCCTGTTGCTTCCGTCAAGGGCTATTAAAATAATCAATTCTTTCTCCCCTTTGCTCTGAGAGAGGGACAAAATAGCTTTACCCTAGTTGCCTTGTTATTAAATGCTTCTGTGTTCATAAATCTTGCTGTGTCTGTATCTTTCTCACTGATTATGTGAGAAAGCTATTCAAATACTCATACGTATTAATACATCAGGCATCTTTCTTGCTCTTTATGACGTGTCTTTGTATATATATATATGTAGATTGTGTGTGTGTGTGTGTGTGTGTGTGTGTGTGTGTATATAAATGCTTGTTAAGTCAAGAATATCTTAGAATTTTTTTTTAGTTTTTGGCCCAATACACTGTTGCATTCTATATCGAATTGAAAGTTTAAAAAGCAATAAACTAATTTAGAATGGTGTATCAATACTGACCATGAATGATTATTAACCTCTCTACATTAGAATCCTTTCAATTTAACATAATTTAGGTAATTACTTTTTTCTAAGAAGAATAAGAGAAAAATTGCCTAAAAATTTAGCTTACTTAAAGTCCAGATTATTAAAATCTGGGCTTTTCTCTCTGTAATCACCTTTCCTCACTCCCCACCCCCACCCCCAAATTCTCAAAGTTATTGATTGTAGGTAAATAAGAAAAACTTGAGAACAGGCTGGGCTCAAATTACATAAAGGTAAATGCAGGATTCATTTATGTTGCAATCTGTCATTTCAGGTATTTCACCTGTTCAAAGACAACTTCATACCTATATGATGTAACAGGAAAGGTCAGAAAACATTAGGCAAGTAGAAGTGTGGAGCATATTAAAGCAAGATGAACGTCTCTGGAAGCAGTTGTGGAAGCCCTAGTTCTGCAGATATATCTAATGATTTTAAGGATCTTTGGACAAAACTAAAGGAATATCATGATAAGGAAGTACAAGGTAAAGTATTTTCTTTACTACACCACAATTATATTGTGCTAAGACTGTAATGATAATAATTTTGTCTTGACAGTTCAAACATGTTTTTTATGTCCTCACCTGTGGACATTTTTCCATTTATCTTCAGATAGAGTGGGAATAGGAGAGAGACAGAGAGAGAAACATCGATATGAGAGAGACACATTGATTAGAGATGCCTCCCGCACGACCCTGACCACGGCCGGGCACAGAACCGCAACCAAGGTATGTGCCTTGACCAGAATAGAACCTGTGACTCTTTGGTCCGCAGGCCAAACTGGCCAGGGCCAACCATCTCTTTTTTTTTTTTAATCCTCACCCGAGGACATTTTTTATTTTTTGTTCAGATAGAGTTGGAGGGAGAGAGAGGAAGAGAGAGAGAGAAACATTGACATGAAAGGTACACATCGAGTGGCTGCCACCTGCACGACTCAACCAGGGCCGGGGACAAACTGCAACCGAGGTACGTGCCCTTACCGGGAATCGAACCCAGGTCTCTCTGGACCGCAGGCCGACGCTCTAACCGCTGAGCCAAACCGGCCAGGGCAACCATTTTTAAGGGGCCATTTACAATTGTAATTTTTTGTGATTCATTTTTATGGTTAAGTTGTAGCTTTTCAACTATAGATAGCTGCTACAGTACATAGCTCTTGCACAATTTGTAGTTACTGTAGTAATATGTATCGCATGATGGAAAGGGCATTAACTTTTTTTGACTGAAGACCTGAATTTAATTTTCGATTTCATTTATCTATTTGCTCTGTGATCTCAGCCAAGTTACATAACTTCTAAACTTAATTAAGTCATTTGATAACCTTTGGGAATCTATTTGCTACCAGTACTAAGATACTAAAGTAAATGACAGTTTGCCTTCAAAGAACCTGTAGTCTAATGATAGAGACATATGAACAAATCATTATTACAGTGTAATAAAATAAGAGCTTGAAAGGTTTGTATGAAGTGCCATTAGTGAGCAGAGGATAGAGCAGTTGTGTTTAGAATGAGCATGTAAATATTATTTGTGATTGTATTAAATTGTATTCCATATAAAAGAATTTTATATTAAAGCTAAACTCAAGGTTTGATATTAAGTTTTAATATACCTATCTAATTCTGAGACTCTAATGTAATACGTTTTTCTCATGTGTGGGAAATGCTTCATATTATATTTGTTTCTTGCAACCATAGGTTTAATTCTATACTACTTTATAGTTTTAACATTGTACTGGAGTGCCATTAAAACATGGTCCACTTGAATCTAAAATATAGTATGTGGATCTGTGTGTTGGAAATGTCCCATGGTACATTTATCTGATGGTACATTTAGTTTTTGACAAAACCTCATGACAGTGGATTCATTCATTGACGTGTGAATGAGTGAACGCCAGAAATATTCTTGCAAGCCTCGGTGTACTGGGAGATAATTGTTTAAGAAATATTTTGGGGGGCAC